TGGTAAGCTAGCTGGGACTTGGGAGAAGCTGCCTGTTCAGGGACCTGCAGAGGGAAGTCCTCTGTTTGAGCTGAAAAGGTTTTTACTGCAGGGACAGGCCTGCAGAGGGAATCCCCTGTCTGCATGTGGAGGTGATGGGGGAGAGAGACTGCCCAGAGAGGGAGCGAGCTGTGAGAATCCCAAATCTACATGGGTGTGAGGGGACACTTAACCCCTAGTGTTGCAAGAGGTGTATTTTTCAGAAGGAAACTAAAGAAAAGAAGCCTATTACCTGCAGTGGCTGATTGGAGACTTGTTGGTTTTTTTTTTTTGAGTTACCAGGATAGAGCAGAGTCCACCTTCCCCAGAGCAGCAGAAGCCTCACCTTTGCCACCCAGTGGTGGATCATATTTAAAGCTGTATTGCCATTTATTGTTATGGGAAGGAGAGAGACGAGAGGGAAAAATCAACCTGGGTTATGGCGGAGAAACTGTTTTAAAGTGTTATAACCAGGTGAATGTACAGGCAACCCCCTCTTAGTGCTCTTAATCGGTTCCTGAAAAACCTAGAGTTAAGCAAATGAGCATTCAGCGAAACTGAAAGTATTTGATGACCCAAGATGGCAACCGCAATTGTTTTTAATGACCCAAGATGGCAACCGCTATAGTGAAATCTGTTGAGCGCTAAGTGAAATTGGGTATCAATTTAAAATGAGCGTTATAGCGACACAGCATTAAACAGGAGGTGCCTGGAATTACTGAGGTTGTTTGATGCAAGTGGGACCACCCCATCTGGTGGAATTATTTGTCTATTGTTGCCCTTGTAAATTCTATTAAATATAATCAATTGTTAATAATAAAACCAACAATTTGAATAGAATTTTACAAAGGCAACAATAGATGAATAATTCCACCAGACTGGGCGATCCCACTTGCATCAAACAACTTCAGTGATTACAGGCAACCCCTGCTTAACGCTGTTTCACTTAGCATTATTTTGCTATAATGCTCGTGGTTGCCATTTTGGGTTCTCTCTCCCTCTCTCTCATATATCTATCTCTTCTCTTGATTAATCATTTATTTTCTGTATATAGTTGTGTATATTAAACCCATGTATTTATTGGACTTAAAGTAAATTCTTGGGCACTGAGGTTAACGGTCATACCTCTCCAAGGGACATCTCACTCAGCATACCTGCCTGAGGTGGTTCCCAGGGCTACTGGCACCCCAAGGATCCAGAATCTGGCATATCACCCAGCCTAGCATGCTGGTGAGGGTTACATTTAGTCTTGGAGGGGGAAATTCACCTCTGTGCAGAGGTCTATATACCTTGTAGGTCTCTATTGTGAGAGCCTAAGTGAAAGTGGGATGCTGCAGAGACTCATGGAGAGGTCCTGAATATCAGCAATGAGCACTGAACAGAGTATCACCAGGTTTTCCAAATAGTTAAACATTTCCTTTGAAGCTGTCATAGGAAACGCATCCGAATATAAACTAGGCATTGCCATTTTATATAAGAGTCAAAGTCCTTCCAGGCTAGTACTGTGCTGCTGACAGTGGGCTGACAACAATCGGATGGACTAAACATAAAATTTGGTATTCTTTCAAAGGTGTTTGGGCCTTACTAAATATAATTCTAGATATTCTTGCTATATATGGACAAGTCTACTCTCTTTTTTTAATCTTGCAACCTTTTTGCCCTGAAAAGAAATAGGACCTAGCTAGCCTTCTAAGAGTCAAGTCACTCTGAATTGTAACAGTGTAGGTTACTATAGCACACTGGCTGGCAGAAGCTTGCAGCAGCCTACACACTCCCAGCTGTAAGGCAGGGATTACAGCCCAGCTATGGACAGTTAAGCCTGATTGCAGGTTGCCTTGGAGGACTGAGCAGCTGACATAGCCTTTAGCTTCCTGTGGTCAGCTACTAATCTCCTAGGGAAGGAAGCCTGGAAAATAGAGGTGAGCAGGAGAGAGAGGAAGAAAGACAGAAGGGGAGAAAGCAGAAGTGAGCCGGGACTTTCTCCCTGTATCAGAGTCACACGTGTGAAGGAATGGAGTAACAGTGAAAGAGTGGGGAGGGAGAGAGACGGCAGGGTCTTGAGGACCCTCTGTCCTGGAGTTTACAAGGACTGTAAAAAGACACTGCAGGGTTATTTGTTTGAGCTAAATAACCCCAAACCCACTATAATTACATTTTTGTAGTAATATTTTAAAGCCTTGAGGGCCATGCCATAGGGTTCCCTCTATCCTGGAGTTTACAAGAACTGTAAAAGGACACTGCAGGAGTATTTGTTTGAGCTAATTAACTCTGAACCTAGTATAATTTGATTTTTGTAGTAATATTTTGAACCCCTGAAAAATAAAAAGGAGGTCTTTACTTATACCTAGAAGTAGAGATCTTTATTGATAGTTGTGCCTCGAAAAGAAAAAAAAGATTATTGTTGGAGGTATCTTACCCAAACAAACTGGTGGTTTGGTCCAGTTTCCATTGTTACAGAAAGATGCATTTTGTCCTGTCAGTGTGTAAAAACGTTGGCATTTGTATTCCACAGAGAAGCCAGAAGCATACTCTTTTAGGGCAAAAGTGGTTATATCACCATTAGCAATAGTAGGTGGACGTCCACATTTCTTTCCCGTTTCTAAGCAGAATCAAAACAAACAAAAGACAAACTCAAATTTCATGTGAGCTACATCCAACAGTGGAGAATGCCACCACAAGCACTGCATTCAAAAGCATGGATTATTCATGAGAGGAAGGGTTGATGGATTACAGTCATCATTTGTACAGCAGCTTTAGGATAAAGGAGTCTACAATTGTAAGACATTATTGTAGGAAGCATGACAATCAATACATTTATCAGATTAAACCCTTGCCCCAGTGAAGACAATGATTCTACTCTAACGGGGCCATGATGACACCCATTCATCTTCATGAACAAAACCTGTTCGTACATAAGGACTGAGGACTGTCAATATTAATTATATCCAGTGGCAACGAAGCTACTCAGAACCTGTGAGGTCTGAAGGTTTTCTGAAGGAGATCCTTGCTAGTTTGACTTTAACCTTGTACCGGAGACAAAATATGAGTGCATTTATATCCCACATTTTCTTGCATTTTCTGACTAGATGTCAAATTTTCCCATTATCCTGCTTTCACCCATCGTTCTTTATTTTATCTATATGCTGAGCTTCACTCTAGCTTTATTTTAAATGACACCAAGTTAAATGATAAACTCAAGTAAGCTCATTCTTACCTGATATACACAATGGAAAGTGTATGTACCCATCAACACATGTCCTGACAGAAGGAGTGGTAAGTTTATAGCCATTGCTGCAGGAAAACTCTATAGTCTGAGCACTTGGAATTAGAATTGTACGTCTTCTATTACTGTCTAAAAAGATATTTTTGTCTTCCAGCTGCTCCTTTGTGATAGTACAAGGGGCTAAATGAAAGGAGGAAAAAATAAAATATATTATTTCTTACCAATCTTTCTGCTCCATACATATAAAAGTCTGAGTCACACATTTAAACCTGTCTCTCTATTTTTAATCTTTTGCCACAATTTAGGGTACTAATCTCAAACAATAAGCAATGGTCATAGGTAATCCAGTGAAGTGAGTTTGTAGGCAATGAGACTGACAGGAATGACCCAAAAAGCCTTAGAAAAGCCATGCAAAATTTGAAGTACAGGAAGTGAGAAAGTAACTACTACTGTATTTTATCGTCTCCCACCATTACTGGAAGGGTGCTGCACTTGGGCAGTAGTAACCAGCAGCACACTTATAAAATGGGAAACTCCCTTCTTGAGAGCATGGAGGCAGAAAGGGATCTTGGAGTCATTATTGACTCCAAGATGAACATGGGCCGACAGTGCAAGGTCACGGTCAGCAGGGCTAACTGGACCTTATCATAAATCCACAGGTGCATCTCAAGTAGGTCCAAGGAGGTGATCCTCCCCCTCTATGAGACACTGATCAGGCCACAGCTGGAATACTCTGTCCAGTTCTGGGCACCCCACTTCAAGAGGGATGTGGACAACATTGAGAGGATCCAGAGGAAGGCCACCTGCATGATCCGAGGATGGCAGTACAGACCCTACAATGAGAGGCTACGGGACCTGAACCTGTTCAGCCTTCACAAGAGAAGGCTGAAGGAGGACCTTGTGACCATCTATAAACTCACTAGGGGTGACCAGAAGGGTTTAGGGGAGACCTTGTTTCTCCTAGCACCCTCCGGGATAACAAGGAATAACGGCCACAAATTGTTGGAGTGTAGGTTTAGATTAGACATCTGTAAGAACTACTTCACAGTTAGGGCGGCTAGGATCTGGAACCAACTTCCAAGGGAAGTGGTGCTGGCTCCTACCCTGGGGCTCTTTAAGAAGCGGCTTGATGCCTACCTGACTGGGGTCATTTGAGCCCAGATTTCCTCCTGCCCAGGCAGGGGGTCGGACCTGAAGATCTACAAGGTCCCTTCTGACCCTACTTCTATGATTCTATGATTCTAAGGGTAGAGATTGACATTGCTGAACTCCTGATGGACTTTACAATGCCTTGTAGCTATATGCAGAGTTCCCAAAGTTGTAAGTATATGTATGCATGTGGGCAGAAGGCAAGTTATACTTTTAACTTGCAACTTTTGATACCTTTCATTATATTCACAAGCAAAAATATAGATATGTCTTAGGGTTGTGACTAAAATAGTTACTTCTTGGTGCTCTATGAAAAATATGTAATAGAAGGGTAAAGAATTTAATTATTTGAGGTAGGTTTTTATCTGTGTGGGTGGAGGGAGGTGGTGCATGCACAGGTGCATAGAGACATATGTAAAAATGTCTTCACGCCCCAGATTAGTCTTGGGTTATTGAATTTGTCATGATACCTTAAATTGTTGGGATTTCTAATGCTGTATAGATTTTCACATTATTTCTGTTTCTAGGAGTGGCAGTGAGAAATGGTCAAGCGCAGACTGCCAGGAGTGGGGGGCAGGGAAGCAAGCCAAACTAGGTAGGGCTTGTGGAGGGATTTGAAGGAAGAAAGCATTTTTAGGTACATGCAAGGAAGGAAGGCATGCAGCTGTGATTGTACCATAGAAAGAATATATTGTACCCGCAGGAATGAATATGCTATAAAATCCCATAAGAAAAAATTAGACATTCACACAATTTTCTTCCTTGCAGGCCTCTTCTGTGGCTGAAGGGTCTGAGTTGTGAGCTGGTAACCAAATGACTGGCAGTTAGTCTGAGTGTGGGCAAGTTACCTTACGTCTCAATTTATTTCCTGCCCAGAGCAGGGGGCTTGGACTCAATGATCTTTTGAGGTCCCTTCCAGTCCTTAATTTCTATGGTTCTATGATCTGTCAGATACACAGATGGAACTCACACGAGTATCCAGAAGGATGGTACAGAAACCACTTACATACCATACAAGAATGAAACACTTTTGTGGCTATAGATCCCTTCTCCTCTGATTTAATTACTCTGAGGATTACACCTATTTCAGTAAATTAGTTAAATAACCCAAAGACCAAACCTCTGTCAAACAATTTACTTGCAAAGTACCTAAACATTTTGGAGGTGGAGTCCAGCTTCCATTACATGATATCCACTCAGATCCAGCCAGCATGTACCCAGGGTTGCAGTGGTACTGCACTCTGTCGCTTTCCACATATTCTGATTTTCCCCCGCTTATGATGTCACCAAAATCAACATCAGGGGGCTCTTCACATGTTTGCACTACACAAACAAAACACACAAAGTGGGTCATCCTAGCTATCAACTAGAAATAAACAACTGATTACAAGTTCCTAGGTATTTCGTCATACTTTGGCATACTGATTTGGTAACTTCTGCAGTGTACAAATGTTTCCCAAAAGACCCAAACCTAAACCAAGACTTCTCTGTTGTTTTCAGAAAACCTCTATCAATTAGAAGAGAAGATGGAGAGAGAGTGCAGGTTGTAGGAGGGAAGAGATTGGAGTACACACAAAAAAGGTCACTCTTTATGAACGTGGCTTGAATATTAGTCATAATTGCAGCACCTCTGTAAACAATTGCTTTACTAAAGAACTATTTTAGTTTAATAAGTATGGTGATAATACCAAAAATATGGTACATAAAAACAAACCTTTAATTTGAAAAGTATTCTTCTTGCAGGCAGGTTACCCTTGTGCCTTAAGAAATTCTTCCATATCAGCAGCATTATCAGTGAAATCATAGACCTGACTAATTGTGACACATTCTGGATAGTCACAGAAATTAATGAAGTGAACATAGAAGGGTGCTTATGAAGAGGGGTTCACCCCTAAGTATAGAGGACTGAAAACAACAGGTAACAATCAGAAGATGATCCAAATATTTCTCTTCTTGCTAAATGTTAGCCAACCTGCCACTCCCTTATTAAACCCATTTTTATAATCTAAGATTTTCAATTTAAGCATGTTAAAAGGTCTGACCACACTAGTGTCTACTTCAAACCTTTCAATTTACATTGAAAATATTATCTCAGGTATTATTATTATAAGCTATAGGATCTTGAGTAGCTTATTGTCTAGGATTCTGGTTTCAAACTTTTTAAAAAATCGGGGCACCCTGCCATAACTTTTCTGAATTTAGCAGCACCTTCTGTGGATGCAGGAAGAGGGAGCCTCTCCTTCTCCCAGTGCAAGAGAAACGTGCCACCCCACCTTTGCCTCAATATATAAAAGCCAGGGGGCACCACTTGCCTGCAGGAAAGCACAGCAGTAGGGGTAGCATTTACTCCACTCTGCTGCATACACCTTCCAGTCCAGCCTTGCATGGCATCTTCAAGAAACAAAATTATGGGAGGACAGTTCCGTGTGGCAGCAGGGAGTCACCCTTACAAATAACTCATGGCACTCAAGTGTGCTGTGGCATGCCAGTTGAGAATCATTGGCCTAGAACCTCATTGACTTGGAACAATTTCAATTGAGTTGCCTCAGTTCTACACATGTATTTTTGTCTAGCGGGGAATAATCTACCATTTTCTTCTGCATGCTTTGAGAAAAAAAATATCAGAGAAATAACTCTACAAACCTATCAGGGCCACCAACACAATCTCCATGGAAAGTCACATGCAACTGAGAGACATGAATACTAAATGTTAGAAGAAATATTAAACCATAAGATGGCGGGGATATTAGAAAAATAAGTAGCAGATTTAGGTGCTTAATGTTTAGCATTAATTAAAAACAGAAGTGATATCGAATTCTGTAGGCAGTTCTGAACATCTCCCACATAGGTTTCTCTTTAAAAAACTCAATTCATGTAATTTTAAAATATTGACTCACCTCAGCAATTCCAGAATGACAGTGCTTTCACCTTCTCCTTCCCTTTTATAACTCAACTGCTATATTATCTTAAAACCTATCCTGCAAACTTTTATTCATATGAATAATCCATGCTCACAAAACACACTCATTTTAACAGATCTACACAAATAATCAACAATTTATTCTGTTTATAGTAGATTGACCCTTAGTATACAAAGAAAAACTAATCCACCCTTGCCATAATTTACTGTACAAATGCATAGTAAATGGTTCAGCA